ATCTCTTAGATCTTGTGATCTTATAATTAAGAAATGGGAGGTTATAGAAAAGCTTAGCATTATGTGTGCAGTGGAAGACCTGCTGAAGCACCTGACCTGCTTTTATTGCAAGACTGTACAGAGGTGTCATGTAAGTACTGGAGGGCTTAACATGGTAAAGAGCTGCTAGAATGTTCATGAGTGATCTGACAGATGGTCATTTTTATGACTGGCTTCATGTACTGGAGAGTCAAAACCTGCAACAGTAAGCCCATGTTGTTAACCCATTAAAGACTGGACTGAATGCTGAAGTAAACAGGGTTGAGGAAAAAAGTAATTGGATTTCTCTGGTAGAAAACATCATAGAATAACAAGAGCAGTTCTTACCTGCAAACCATTTGTTTGTCAAAAGCCACAAATTTATTTTTTTCAGAGAATAAGGTAAAGGAAATCTGGTATTTGTCATTTAGTTACCAAAAAAAAAAAAAAACCACAACAAAAACCCACACCAAAAAAACAACACAAAACCAAACCAAAACCTGAGAGTGCAGGTTAAATGTTTGACCAGCCCTATGTCTGACCTTTCTTTTGCTTCTATAAAAAAACCCTGATACCAATCTCATAGTTACTTCACAAGAATGCTAAGGATTAATTAAATGTTTGCAAAGCCCTGTGTAAACACCAAGCATTGTTAAGAGCAGAGTTTCACCTTAGCAAGACCTTTTGCCAGCACTAAGGAGCACAGAGTGAGAAGAGTTCTTATTTTCCCAGCTAGCATTTGGAGGGAATAAAGTGTTTGGTGACTGCATTTTTGCTTCTCAGGCAACTATGAAAGAAGTACAGCATGCTTTTGGTTATCTCAGAGTACGTACTGTTTTACTTCCTTGGCTTACGTTTGTCACCTCTTTCCCCTAAGGAAGGTACAGTACCGAAGGGAGTCATCACAGACTCCTGCCTAAACAAACAGCCATAGAAGCCAGGCAGATTTCAGGTAGCAAGCGAACATCAGTGTGGCATAAGAGAACATCAGAGTGGCATAAGCATTGTAGAAGGATGGAATGCTGTGGCCAATACCAGAAAAGATACTACAGCCATAGAGTTGGAGTTTGTACCCTGAGCATAGGAATGCCAGTACTCATCCTGAGGTTCTCAAGTGGGTCTGCTCCCAAGCCAGGGCTCAAATAGCATGTGCAGTTTTTGCTAACTGCTTTCCAGCTCCAACTGCAAAGGCCTCAAAGCTGTAACAGTTTATGCTGCTCCTTACCAACTTAATTTTTACAGAGGGATGCTAGAACAATTTTGCTTCTGATTTTCATAGCCTAGCAAGTCATGTATATTTGTAAGGCAGCTGGTAGGCTGCAGTTCTGGTGTCTGGGTAAGGGGTTCTTGTGGGAAGGAGTTGTTTGGGGTTTTTTTTAAAACCCTTTAACAGCTAAACCTCAGCAACATGTGCCTCCAGCCAGAGATCAGTCCTTTACTCTGTTAAAAGGTGGCCACTTCTTTGACTCATTTATACAAACACACTGGACCTCTCGTAGCACAAACCGAATCAGTTACAGCTTGCACTTTCAGAGTGTGGTATTTATTAAGACATAGGCAGGCAAACATAGTAGTTGTGCCCAGATTACCCCTTACATTTACAAAACTATTTAGCAACTTTATTTTCCAGCTTTCTTTTATACTGCAAATTCCGTCAGGTTTTAACAGAAAAGGAAACAGCTTCACTTAAAAAGTAGCTGTACAGCTCTAAAAGGGACAGAGGAAATGCCTGGTTTTTAGCAGTGCCTTTGACGGAAGAAAACTAACATTCAGTTCATTACCACAGTATGTGTCAAAAGTAACAGTTGAGTGGTCTAAAGATGTATGGTTTTGGTGTAATTTGCTGACAAAGAATATGCCATAGAGGGAACTAGTTATTTGCATAAAAGGTGATTTTGTTTCCACAGTGTTCCTTATGTGTAATGCAGTAAGACAGATGTTTTAATTAGGGAAATTCAAGTTAGATATATGTATGGTGGAAAGCTTTTCTCAGTGAGGGTAATCAGACAGAGAACCAGTGCCCAGAGAGGTTGTGCCATCCTTCAAGGTATTGATAACTCAACAGCGCCCTGAGTGACTGTGGGCAACTTTGGAGTCGGTCTTGCTTTGAGCACGGTACTGGCTGAAATGACCCCCAGCAGGCCTTTCCCACCTAAATGATTCTCCAGTGCTAAGACTTTCAACAGTGAAAATCTTAACTATAGAAAAGACGTTTGCCAGAAGATTTTAAAGTGGCATCAACACAGGAGCTACCCCTTTGTATAGCTAAAGCATAGCCAAACCCTTAAGCCTTACTTAGCTGCAGGATTAGCTGACTGCTCTGGAGAGAATGCCCCATCCCTGGCAGCATTCAAGGCTAGGTTGAACGGGGCTTTGAGCAACCTGGTAGAGTGTAATGTGTCCCTGCCCATGGTAGAGGGGCTGGAACTATATAATCTTTAAGGTCCCTTTAAACTCAAACCATTCTATGTATTAGGAGCAATTCTGGTGGCTTTTCTCTTTTCCCACATGCAAGTTTTTGACAGCACTGCCTGCGGCTGTACTCTGACCGCTGCCTTCCTTGTCTTGTTTAGCACACTGCTGCTGGTGATGAAGGTGGAGGCCAGTCGCTGGTTTCTCCTGGGAGCTGCCTAGAAGATTTCAGAGCGACTCCTTTCATCGAATGCAATGGAGCACGTGGAACCTGTCACTACTTCGCCAATAAATACAGCTTCTGGCTCACTACAATTGACCAGCCCTTCCAAAGCAAGCCCTCGGCAGATACACTAAAGGCAGGACTGATCCGAAGCCATATCAGCAGATGTCAAGTCTGTATGAAAAATTTATAGAAGTCTTTCACAGTATAAGGAACCTGCTTAACATGTCATTCTTATACAGTGGAACCTTCTGTGATAGTTAGACATTTGAATAAATCATGTTGGTGCTTTTTTAACTTATTACCTCAAAAGCTGAATGGAAAGTTAATTTTAAAGATGTCTATAAAAGCAAATTAAGTGTAACACAAATCATGTCTAACACACAGATCTAATGCTGTATTCACCTACTATATAGTGTATATATATACTTTTTGCTATTCTAACATTGCATCATTTGCCAAATGCTACAAATACTCGCAGCTTTGAAACACAAAAAAACCTTCAGTAATAAATGGTTACCTTGGTCAGATACCAACTGCATTTACTTTAAGAGAATATATGTATCTTTTACATTTACTGTACTTGTCGCAACAGTAAACACTAGCAGCTCCAGTTCCATAAATTAACCCAGCGTGCTCACAGAGAGAAATTCTTGCAAAATACTGAAACTATTTTGGAAAGTGCTCATGTCCAGCATTGAAACCTAACCTTGATTTTAGTATTTTATGCTTGGGTATTTCAAACACACCCAAAACAATTATCTTTTTATTGTGTTTGGTTTTTTTTCAAGCCTAACAATGCTTTGGCACTTAACCACTGGCAAGAGCAGAGAAGCCCACAGGCCTCCCAAAAACAGTGACCACAAAATACAGCTCTTCCTATTTCAGTTAGGAAACTAAATGACGAAGATCAGCATTTTATTTTACAAGCTTGATAATTTTTTTCTAGACATACCTCAGGATCCTTACAAGGGTCTCTTGCTCCTTGCTATGTTGTGGACATCCATCCATGTCACACTACCCACATAGCAGGTGACACTGGTTGACTTTTCAGTTGCAGCTTTTCTCCTCTGAAACCAAGCCACTCATCACAAACTTATTTTAACCATTACTGCTGGAACAGCTATTGCACACAGTGTGGGCTTTACAGGAGAGCAAGTTGCTCGATGCCACATAACTTTTAATTTAAGCACAAAACTTCCCGTACTGCCACTTGTCTGTCAAAAGGCATGCTGTCCTGGCAGCTAAGGACACACAGCAATGGGATAACCACCACCAGTTTACACACAGCCGGGGGGAGGAAGCAAAGCATTAATTTGGAGCCATCTTTCCCCATACAGAACCAAGTTATTGCATGCCAGGCTTGATAAATGGCCAGAATGGCTAACTCTTTCCTTCTGCAGAAACAGTTTAGCTCAAAGTTACCTGTCACCACTGCAAGAGACCGGGAAGTGGGGGAACGGATCAGTTGCAGATTTCCTACTGGTATAGTCTGATTATATACCCGAATACTTAAACCTGAAATGGAAGAGATTTTTATAGCAATGGCAATTGATTTTTCAACAGTTCACCTCACTCCTGCTTCAGGTGCTTTTGGCTTTTGTACTTACATTCCATCCTCACTGTATCATAAATAAAACCTGTTTTTTTTCTAAACTTTTATTTGTTGATGATTTTCATTTTGTAAACGGTGTTTTTCTGCACAATGCATATGGAGAGCTCTGTTGAATTACTTTGTTTGCACCTAAGGAATTAGAAGCACACTGCCAGAAAGCTCCTTCCACTGAAATTCAAACTCTTCAACCGGGAACACACTTGTTTATTTCATGACACTTTAAAAGATCCAAGAGGGAAGCTGTGTTTCTAAAATTGCTTGTTTAAGCTGAACTACTGCAATAGTATTCCATCTTGTTGTTAGAACAATTTAAGCCAATAAATTGCAATGTTGCAGATTAAAGCAATGTATTATTCATGCTATACAATGTTCAGAAAACCAACATTAACAAAACTTCCCAAGTGTTACCTCTGCAAAAAAAAAAAAAAATATGAAATATAAATGAAGTTAAAATTCTTAGCTAGCACGCTGTCTAACCTTGATCAGCTGTACATATGATGAGATACAGCCATAAACAGAGAAATTACCTAAGCTTGAAATGAGCTCTTTGGCTATGCTGTAGCTCTGAAAGGCAGCCCCCAAACAAAGTAATCACACTACTATTTGTTCAGATAAATAAAATACTTAGAACAGAAAACAATGCAGTCAACTTGAGCCAAATTTATTCCATGCTTGCCAATTCTTTTAAATACACAGGGCAGTAACACAAACACCCAAAAATAAGCAACTTACCTCAGCTCGGTGTTGCTAGAAATCAGTGGTTGTGGGATGAACACAGTTATCACTTGGGATTTTGACAGCATACCATTCCAGCACATTCAGTATTTTAAGAGAATTCAAGTGGAGGTTATGCAAATCTGGAAAAGCCAATTACATCAACAAAGGAAGCAACTGTTTGTACTTTCATAGCTAATACATTGCCTAATCTTCCTATGCAGCTAATTTTTTTCCAGTGTAAAACTTTAGCAGATAGGTCTTCCTTCTCAAGCAGTTTTGCCTCTTCATTTTCTCTGGCTCACATAAGCTGTTCTTAACAAGTTTGCTCAGTGCAGTATCATCAGCACAGCATTATGTTGAAGCCATGGGCATGGTACAGGCAAAAACAACTCACAAAAACCCACAAGGTGCCAACTGGACTTGAACTTCTGTACTTTGTGTACATCGTGTTCTCAGGTCTGTGTTCCCATAGCCATGTTTCTCAAAAGCCTGTGTAATCAGTGCTTGAGAAGGGGAGGTTGCTCGTGCACACAATCACGTGGAATACTTGCAGCAGCCAGAGAATTTCACCTGGTGAGCTAACCCAGAGCACAGCATGAGGGGAACTGGCTTACTCAAGCTGCCTCTTAATTGCAGGTTTACCTCCTCTCCTGTGAAAAAAGTCAGAGAGGTGGGGTTGTTCAGCCTGGAGAAGACTCCAGGAAGACATTATTGTGGCCTAAACCCGTCCAATATCAGGTTGAATGAAGCTTTGAGCAACCTGATCGGAAGATGCCCCTGCCCCTGGCAGGTGGGCTTCCTCTAGGTGATCTTTGAAGATCCCTTCCAACCCAAACCATCTGATGATTCTATGATCCCAGAACCCATTCCCAAGAAGTTAAAATATTTTGATACTGGAAAAAATCTCAGCTACAGCAAAACAAAACAATCTTTTTACTAAACTACGGTGTTCCAGCCTAGGATGTAAAAACCACAAGTGTTTTGCCTGGGTTTGACCACGTCAAGTCTTTTGCTTCAAAGCATACTGTTTGTTTCCTACACTTCCCTGGTTGAAAGCATGCTGCTGAGCCTGGAGAAGGTGAATGAGATTATATTGCCCTTCTGCAGGTAACTGCATCAGTATATCAATGTCAATTGACACCCATTATCTCCCCAGAGTGTGTTGACCAGATCAACCAAGTTCACTCACACCTTACATGACTGGGATTGTCTGTGGCGGCCAGAAACAGAAAAACAGCAAACAACAAGCAGTAAACAAGGTATTAGGTTGCTGCCAGAAGAGAGGCTGGGAAGTTACTGATATTGTGCTGATGGCACCCCAGTGCAGGTGGCAGTAGACCCCATAAACCGTATGGGGACCAGCTGCACCCCCAGGGTTGGCCACCCACACCCATCAGGGTGAGTGAGGGCCTGGACTCATGGTCTTTGGGGATTAGACACAGATGGTGCAAGACACACTGAATGAGGAGAACAAGTAACATCACTGCGTCCCTGACCCAGGAGCAGAGAAGTAAAAACAGGCAGTGGTGCTTCCCAGCAGGACATAATGATTGGATTGATGATCTTAAAGGTCTTTTCCAACCTGGTTGATCCTACAATTCTATGGCATGGGCATCTGAAGCCAAAGCATGTGGCTCAAGCAGCTCTACCTGCTTCATGAGCACCTGGGGCGTTCAGGCTCCTTTGGTGGTCTCCAAGAGACTTTAAGCCTTATTAGGGTTGCAAGGAGACAACAGCAACTTCAGTCTCCCACCACTGCTCAGGATGTGGCCTTCCCAACCAGCCTGGCACCCACTCACCCTGCCTTCCACCCCTCCATCCCCCTCAGGTCACAGCGTGGCCTGGCCATCATCTCAGGCACAGCATGCCCACATCTCACATTCACCCAGTGTGGACAAAAATAACATCTATTTCACTGTTCAAACACTTCACATAATCCAGACAAATATCTGAGGGAGGTGAAGGGAAACAAATACCTGTAAAACAAGGTCCCGCTCGCAGGCAGGGCAAGCAGAGCACCTGGGATGCTGCTTTCACCTGCCATTGCTAGTCCTGGCCATGCACGACCATTCTGCAGCTTCACTGCTCTTCCCCGTCAGTGAGCCAAGCTGAATTATTCCAGTAAAATTATGTTGGATGGGGGGGTGGGGGGGGGGGGGGTGGTGGTGGTGGTGGTGGAGGGAAAAAAAAAAAACAAAAAACACCATTTAAACAGAAAACAACAACAAATCTAGGCAATTCCAGTGCTGAGGGTTGAACTGTGCTCTCCAATAGTGCTTGCAGACACGCACAGGCACCTCTGCAGCAGACAGAGCATCAACACTGGGCTGTAAAAATGGAACTCAGCTACAGCAGAGTTTAAAATAGTAAAATAATTAAAAAAAAAAATCCTACATCAAACTCCAGAAACCCTCAAGTTTTGCTCGAAGGCACAATCTGACTTCTGCAAGTAGTAAGGAAATGGGGCTAGCCACATCGAGCAATCCAGACCTCCTGAGCTCCTACCATCAGCTCCTGTGTAGTCTGCAGCCTCTCAGGTTCTGCTGTGTAAGCCCATGATCTCTCTCACAGGCTGGCGGAGTGACATCCACTACAACTCGGGCATTTCTCAAGGAGCAATAGCCAGTGACACTAAAAAGCCAGGAACATCCTGACAGACAAGTGTAGCCCTAAGGGCAAAAGCACAGCATGCAAGACTGGTTCCTGTGTCCTTTTTTTTTTTCCAGTGAAAACACTCAAGTTGGAGCTTTGGGAAAGACTAGGAATTCCTTCGTATCTCATATGAATCAAATGTTGGTGCAACTGAGCTGCAACTATTTATACCTTAAGAAGTATTAGATGTTATATTTACAAATATTTTTCCTGTTCTGTACCTTCTAGCTGTACATGACCCAAAAGCCTGACCTTGCAACACGCGTATGCTGCAGGTTCAGCTGTCAACAGATGCAGCAAAGCCAGCGGTGAACCTCTCACAGATGTGCTGGCAAATCGCTTTGGTCACAGACAAGACTGAGGTTATAGCCTGTTTGTCTCTTCCCAGTCCCAAGGAAAGACTAGACACTGGCCTTAGAATTCTGTTACTGCACATAAGCTTGAAAGCAGAAAATAAACCTACTTCTCTGCAGCAAGTTGATCAAGAAGATACACTTTGGGAAAAAATTAATTCATATTCTTAGTAATAATTTCATTCATTATTCATTTAGGAATCGTCTCCCTATGTACTACTTAACTGTGATTTGGTTGGGACAAAGAAACTCAATGAGAAAGCATAAGAGCAACCAACCCTTTAGTTTCAGAAAATTATGCCCACAGCATCCATAGGAAGATGAAAGAGTCCCCATACAACAACTTGCTGAAATGGAAACATGTGAGCTGCATTTTTGGGGTTAAGGGGGAGTTGTTTTGGGGAAATATGGGGATGGAAAGTAGCAGTTCCTCACTGTGGTTAAGGCGTCTCAGTGTGTGCTCCTGGATCATCACATACTGCTTCATAGCCGAGAGAGTTGGGAAACTCTAGGAGCAGTATTGAGTATTAGCTTCTCCTTTTTACTGCAGTCAGGAGAGAAACCTTGTTAGTGCTCCTTCATGTACCTTTCTACTCCACAAAAGGCAGTTTCTCTTTCCTTCCTCCTGCATTAGACACTTTCACATCAGAAAATGCAAGTCCTCACTTCCCTCCAGGAAGACGGCAATGTCATGCATAGCTGCTAAACATCAAAGCTGCAGCCTTGAGCACAACGAAGGAGGAATTGGAAGGGAGACAGAACACAGGTATTCAACATGTGGCATTCTACTGGCACCATAAAGAGGTCAAAATGCAGACAAATAGAAAATCACTTCCTTCCCCAAAAAAAGCTTTGCTATCCACATTAAAAAGAATTTCAAGAGAAAAAGGAAAGAAAAACTTCCTCCTACATCTTGCAATTACAGCAGCAAGAGCTGTGATGCTGTCTGTTAATACATGAAAGCCCACTATGAAAGGGGAATTCACACTAATAGTCTCCAAATGAAGAGTACGTATCCACAGTGATTTTAATAGTTCAGCTTTTGAGCCTTACACTGTCATCTGACATAAAAAGATTGTAATTGATTTATTAGCTACAAATATAAATTATACCTGGATTTTCTTTTTTTCTTTCTTATTTTTTGTCAAGAATAAAAAAGTGCTGTGTTTTCAATCTCCCAAAGTCAGAATCGCAAAGGGAATGATGACAATAATGTGAAAGCTGTTGAGTATACAAACAGATCATTTACATGCAACATGAAATGGCAAGTCAGTAAAAATCAGACTCCTTCAAAACTGTTCAAGTTAATGTCATTTGTACCAATTGTACTAATACACCATTTGTCTTCAGATCCACTCCCCTGGAAACTGGCAAGTCTTCCTCTGTAATTCCACTCACTTTCCATTTTCATACACAGAGCTTCCCAGAAACCTTTAATGGTCAGATTTGTTTGGCTGGTTGGTTTTTGGGTTGTTTCTTTTTTTCCACAGACACCATTTTAGTCTATTTATTCTTTGACTTTTCCTTTCTTGTGAACTGCAAGCACTTGACACTCCTCAGTTTGCTGGAGAGAACAATCCCTCCCCTTTTCTTACATTATGTAAATGATTCAGGCACAACAACCAGATTTTGTCCTTTTTGCCGGCTTGTAGTCTGTAATGTCTACAGTTTGCGGTGGTCCCTCAGCTTTCTGGCGTACAATTATTGGGACTACCATGTCAAACACAGTTTCAAAGAGGTAGTCTACCTTGTATCCTGTTTTTGCACTGGTCTCAAAGCACATTTTCTCAGCTGCTGGAACATCCTTCTCATCTAGCATTTTGTATTTCAGTATCTTTTTATAGAGCGCAATCGCATCCTCTGCACAGACTTGTTTTCGCACCTTCGAGCTGCAGCTGGCAACAGGCTTCTCAGGTCTATTTTCATCCGGTGGCAAAGCGCAGTCTTCGGTGAGGTCAACTTTATTTCCAACAATAGCAAAAATGCAGTCAGCACTCGCACTGTCCGTCAGCGCCAAGAATCTTTCTTCCAGCTCTGTCAGGCTTTGGAGGCTGTTCACATCATACGTGAGGATCACAGCAGCTGCTCCTCTGCAGTACATAGACCCGAGGCCATGAAACTGCTCCCGTCCTGGCAAAGGTTTAAACACAACATTAAGTCAGTGTGCTGCAAGCTACGTTATTAACTAAGTGAGAGAGTTTAGGGAATTTTAAGCCAATTTTGCCAATTTGGATGGAGCAGTGAAGGTAAAAAAGTGTTATTTGTAGCATTTTCAGTTTTTTTCTTCTGCTTTCCCTTGAGAGTGCAACTGTGCTGCAGAACAGCTTGGCTCACTGCTTGCTCAATTGCAGATCAGGTAATCTGTAAAGACGAGTAAGCAAGCCTGACACAACATTCACAGTTGCAGACAGCAGAAAAGGGTTTGGGTTTTTTTTATTAAACTGCATACTAGTTTATTTATGACACATTAACAACTACCCTACTTGCATACGCAGATGGCTCGTTCCACCTATTTAACAATTTATACACAAAAAAAAAGTTCTGCTGTTTCAAATTCTGCTAGACCTTAGTACTCCTATAAATTCAACGTACACTTCCAAGTATATCCAGTTCAGAAATCTGGATCAAAGTCAGTAATCCACTTCTTCCTAGGTTTTGAAGGCGTTTGTAAGCCCTATACTACATGCCCACAGTTCTCAGGTACATTTACTTTAGAGGAAAATAGTTGTCTTTAATGCTGCTGTATATAGCCTGTATGTATTAATATGCACCTATCCCATCACAAGTACTCACCCCTTTTAAGGATATTAAACATACACAGTATAGAGAACCCTAACTACATTTTAGGAGTAATTTATGTTTTAGGTTGCCCCAACCATCACTCAATAATCAACAGTTAATAACAAACATTTCTTCCTCCTTGTCAGTCAGCAAATATCTACCAGCACTTCCAGCTAAGCTTTGATGGTCTCCTTCAGCTTTGTTCCTTGGAAGACAAAACTGACTCTTCTTTAAATTCTGGGAAGTAAACAATGTTCTTCAGTACTTGCAAAAGGACTAAGGGAAATG